AGGTGGGCCAGATACACTGGACTCAGGCAGAGCTTCATCTTGGAAGTGCCTGATGTGAATCTTCCCTTTTTGACAGAAGAGGAGGTTGTTTTTACCGTTAACATCCTCTGTCAGCACTCACCTATTTTCCCATTCATGAAAGAAGCTCAGTTTTATTAGTGAGTACTGCCTAAATGTACATATCTATGTATATACACAGAGAGAGAGAGAGGGGGGGGAGGGAGGAAGGGAGGGAGGGAGGGAGGAGTTTTTAGAATTGGTTTGTACTGTTATGGGAGATGGAAAATTCAAAATCTATAAGGCCATCAGTCTAGAAACTCACCAATAATTGAAATTATCACTTGAGCCCTAAACTTATATCTAGGATTTCTATGTTAAGGTCTTTAAGGCAAACTTTCTTATTTGAGAAACTTCAGTTTTTGCTTTTTGGGCCTTCAACTGATTGAGGCTCAGATCTATCACTGAGGGCAACTTCCTTTACTTAAGGCAACTGATTAAGAATGTTAAATCACATTTACAAAATACCCTTCACGCCGACATCTAGACTAGTGTTTGAGAAAAAGGGTAGTGATATTTTGTGTATGCTCTAACAAATAAGGCTTGTCAGAAGATCAGAGGGCAGAGCCAGCCACAGAGTTAGCCATAGAGGCTAGGCAGTGGTGGCACACACCTTTAATGCTAGCACTCAGGAGGCAAAGGCAGGTAGATCTCTGTGAGTTCAAGGCCACTCTGGACTACACGAAATTAATCCAGTCTAAAAGAGAAACAGAGTCAGGTGGTGATGGCTCACACCACCAATCCCAGTACTTGGGAATCACATGCCTTTAATCCCAGCACTAGGAAGGTTGAGAAAGGAAGTGATATAAGGCGGGAGGAGACAGAAGTTCGGGCCCCCTTTTGGCTAAGCTAGAGCTATTCAGTCTGAGAATTCGCAGAGACAAGACTTCTCTCCTCCTTTCAGGCTGAGGATTCGGTAGAGACCAATTAGGATTCGTGTTACAAAAACGGAGTACTAAATCAGCAAAGTAATGCATAAAATCAGTTACCAAAACAATTGCTAACTAATAATGTTTCCTCAAAGACATGCTGATCCATGATAAGTAAGATTAAAAACTTAAGTTTTTAATGAGCCACATATAGCACACATTCATTAGAAAAGCAAACTTCATCTGTAAAGTGCTCTGTTCACTTGGTACACCCAAGTTCTGTATCCAGAAGCTAGGTTAAAAAAAAAAAAGAAAAGAAAAGAAAGGAAAAAGAAAAGAAAAGAAAAGCTCCATGTGGTAGTACAGTTGTAATCCCAGTGCTATGGAGCCAGGCAGGCCGAGTTCCCGGGCTCACTGGCCGCCAGCCAGCCTCCCCTCTTGGCCAGTTCCAGGACAATGAGAGACCCTGCTTCAAAAAACAAGGTGCATGGTACCTGAGATTGACAGCCAAAATTGTCCCCTGGTCTCCTCATGCACATGCATACACATTCGTGCCCCTCCCCACTACACAGTCACACACATACACAAGGAAAACAAATCCCTTCCATGATTTAAATTTGACCTTTTTAGGCAGTTTTGTGGAAGTGAGGGTAGGTAGGTATATTAGTTAATTGTCTGTCGCTGTGATAAAACACCATGACCAAGGCAGCTTATAGAAGGGAGAGTTTATTTGGCTTATAGTTCCGGAGGGATAAGAGTCTAGCACGGCAGCAGTTATAGAAAGGTGAGGGTTCATGTCTTGAGCCACACCTGAGGCAGAGAGAGCAAACTGAGAGGAGGGTGAGGACTTAAGATCTCCAAGTGTGGCCTGGTAACATACTTCCTCCAGCAAGTTCACACCTCCTAAGCCTCCTCAAACTGTGCCCTCCACTGGGAGCCAAGTGGTCAAGTGCCCGAGAATGAGGCGGGAGTGGAGTGGGGCGGCGTTTGTTATTGAAACAACCACATTAGAAGTAGGGGAAGGAAGACTGGTTGTCTGATTTTAGAAGCCTATAACCTTCTTCTCTATAACCAAGTATTTGCTATAGCACTGAGGACAAGTGCAGCTGTTAAGAACCAAAGTTGAACTAATAAATGGGTCATTGTCTCTTCAAGGTAGAAGCATGCTGGTATGGTTTCAATGTGTCCCCTCCAAAATTCAGGGTTACCAGAGTGATAGTTATTGAGGCATAAGGGCCCTTCATAGGTGATTAGGCTACTGAGAAGGCTTGCTTTCTAAATGAGAGTAGTGCTGATGGAAAACATGGATCCAGCTTGTGGTGGCTGGAATGAGAGTGGCCCCCATAGGCTCATCTATTTAAGTGCGTAGTCACCAGTTAGTGGAACTGTTTGGGAGGATTAAGAAATATGGTCTTGAAGAAGTAGAGGTGACTTTGCTGGAGAAGGTGTGTCCAGCTGGGAGTGGGCTCTGAGGTTTCAAAAGCCCATGTCAGGTCCAGTCTCTCTCTTTCTGTCGGCTGCCTATGGATCAGGATGTAAAGCTCTCAGCTACTGCTCCAATGCCATGCCTGTCTGTTTCCTGCCATGATGACCATGAACTAATTAATTCCTCTAAAACTGTAGGCAAGCCCTTATTTAAATACTTTCTTTTATAAGAGTTGTGTTGGTCATGATGTCTCTTCATAGAAATAGAACAGTGTTATTCTATAATACAGGACAAGATTGTCCCAAATAATGTGTTTCCATGTAGAAACAAGTCCATGAATTTTTATAGTTAAAGAACAGAAAGTCATAAATGAATATATTTTTCCAAATACTTTACTGGAAACATTAGTAGGTGAGTTACATCGAAGTGAGACCTCTCAACTCTAAGTCTCAGATGCTGTCTGATGGCATTCTTAGCTTTTGGATTGATGGATGCTAGGCATCATTAATATATTCTAAAAAGTTTCACTGGGTAGATGAAAGGATTTTGGTCAGATACAAAGGACTATTATGGGACTGAAGATCGGGTAAGATAGTTTGGCTCTGGATCTGCTTTCTGCAATCAGGAACTCCTGTCAGTCAGTCCGCCCTGTGGAGACTGTACCATAGGAGTGGCCCTCCCCCCTGCAACTTCAGATCACCACAGACACCCTGTACAATGACTAAGTGGAGTTTGTCTTCATTATTCTTTGTCTTCCGGAGTGAGGGCACAGCCTTCCTAAGGTAGAGGAGCCCTCACCAGACAGCTCTTCCTGCTAATGCCTTGATCTTAAGCTGTTCTGTATGTAGGAGTGAGAAAAGTAAATTCTGGTGTTTTGTTTTTTAAATATTACTCAGTCGCTGAGATTTTGCCATAGCAGCACAGATACATGCAAACACTCTGTAGTGGTATTTGCTCCACCCTTGACCTTGGGCTCTATGGCACGAAGGAGGCGGTGCTTCTTGCCATTGTATGTGACCGCTTAAAAAGAGAGGAGAGAGGGGTCACCATTTCCCCCCAACACACACACACACGCTTTTTTTTTTTTTTTTTTTTTTTAAATCCTGGCGTGATTGAACACCGACGGACTGGGAATTTAACCCGGGTTCCCTCTACAACACTCCACTTCACATTTTACAGGTGGGATTATTAATTAAGGGCCAGATAAAGATGTAAAGGCCATAATGGTAGCATAGGTATATCAAAGTGTCTAGATGGGATTGGGCTCCCAGCTGAAAGGAAGTTTTACAGATGTGTAAGGACATCTTTGCAAGCCTTCCTCAGCACCAGCAGGTAGCCAGGAGAGGTCATAAACATAAGGAAATTGCTTCCCAGGCAGAGAGTCACTCCTTTAATGCAGGCAACATCAGTTCCACCACAGAGATGTCTAGAATTAATGAAATTCACACAGCAAGTCCTGACACTTGATGGCCTAATTAGAATGATTATGGGGAGGCTTCACAAAGGTGCTGTGTCAGCAGATGAGCCAATGAGCCGTTCCCATAATGAGCATGTTCCCACCCCACCCCTGATCCAGCAGGAGCTTAAAGCGTGGACTAAAGTTAGCACATTAATAATTGTTTGTGATGTGGTTAGCAAAAAATATTTTCTAATGGTGTGCTTAGAGGAGTGCTTCAGGAGCTAATTGTGGCAGGACTGTGTTTTCTCTTAAGTTGTGGGAGTGTTTCTACTCACTGCCGTGTATGTGTGTGTACTTTACTTCCACGGGCGATGGAGAGGGGATATATAACAGAGATCTGCTGTCGGTGTTTTTAGCCTACTCTGAAGTGCTCACAGATTTTTTTTTTTTTCCAGAAAGATGTCACTGAAGGTAATAAGCTAGCCGTGATACAGGGGGGCGGGGTGCAAGGAAAGGAACAGTAGAACTCAGGGTCACGTGGGTTGTTTCGTCCGTTTGGTTGTTGTTTGTAATTGTACACACATAAAAACTGGATTCCTGCAACACTGAGGAGCTGAAATGAATAAAAATATTTCTTATCAGATGGTCAACATAAATGTTGCATAAAACCGTGTACTGAGGCGTTAGAAGGTCTCAGGGTGGCAGCAGCTGGGGGAATACAGTTGACTAGATTTTTAATGTGGCTTGGGACCTTGTGTGCTTGTTCAACATTGTAATCTTAATTGCAAGACCCATAAGTGAGTAAGGCTTTGTTTAATTTTATTATTTTAAAGAAATTAATTCAATAAATATCTAAATAACTTAAAATGTGTTTTCTTTTGGACCAATGCATGCCGTTCAGTCTGATGACCTGGATTTGGTCCCTAGAACCCACATGGTGAAGGAAAGAACCAACCTCTGACCTCCACATATGGATTATAGCCTGTGCGTGTGTGCACACATACACACACAGGAAGAAATAATAAATATAATAACAATAAGACTGTTTTGTTGAAGCTGGGCATGATAACATGTATCTGTAAACTCAACAATTAGAAGGCATGAGGATTATTAAATCTGAAGTCAACCGTAGGGCTACATAGCAAAATGCCCTCTCTCTCTCTCATACTCTCTCTTACTCTCTCTCTCTCATTTGTAGTGCCAAGTTGGCAAAAAAAAAAAAAAAAAAAAAAGCCTTATACTCTATAGCAGGCGTTCCTGAAGAGTCAGCTGGGAGGAGCCAGTTTTCTCTGAACTGCTCACCTCATGGCTTTGAGAGAACTCCACTGTTAACAGCTCCAGCTCCAGATAATCCTCTGAAATGCAGACTCTATAGCTAGCAGCTGAATGTCCTCCTCCTCCTGGCTGTCTGACAGGCATTTCATACACAACCCGTCCCAAGATGAACCTGTGTCTGTCTCTGTCCCCCAGCTTGCACTAGACTTGCTCCCCGGCATTCTTTCTTACCTCAGTGTAACTCTTCTACCCATGGCTCACCAAGATCTTGGTGCCAACAGGGAGTCCTCTCTTTTTCCAACACCCCATAAGCTGCCCATCATTGTATCTCTTAACTCATCATCTTGTTTTCAACTCTGGACCCACTTAAGCGCAGATTTACTATGCTTCAACTTAATACACTCTCCATTATGAGTTTGCATGATCTGTGGTGACAGCTGTCTAACTGGATTCTACACAGGGCCGTTCAAAACGGTCTCTGTATAATGTAAGTGTAAGTATACCATGTTTCTGCTCCCAGCACCCATTGACTCCACCTTTCCCTCCAATAAAAGACAGAAGCTTTATAGTGGTCCACAAAGCCCCAGTGGTAGCTTCCTCCTCATTTGTCCTTGCACCCTGCCCCTTCCCCCCCCCTCACTTCTCTTTCCTGGTCTCTACCATGCTCCTCCCTCATTTCAGTCTAGTATCTGTATGACTTTGCTGTCATAACAAACGATCACAGATTGCCCCTGACTGTGCAGCTTCAAACAACATGCATCTATTGTCAGGCAGTTCTGGGCTGGAAGTTGAACTTGGCTTAGGTATTTTCTCTGGTTGTCAGCAAAATTCAGTCTTAAATTTATACAAGTAAGGTTCCTGTTTCCTTCCTGGCTGTTGCATAGAGGCTGTCCTTACCTCCTAGAGGGTTCTCCTAAGTCTTTAGTGGTGGGTCCCTATGTTTCCAAGTCAGCAACAATGGTATCATTCTCATAATCTCTGGTTTCCTTTTGCGTTGAATAATTCTTGCTGCAGTCAGAGAGTCTGTTTGTAAGGTTTCATGTGAATAGATTGAGTCAATCTGGATAATCTGCGATTATCTCTTATCTCGAGGTTTGAAACAATTTTATCGCCAAGGTTCTTTTGCCATGTAATACAACAAATCCATATGTTCCAAGAAGTGGTGCCGTACTGAGATTCAGGTAAGAGTTGAATATGTCCCTTCAGGTTCGTGTGTTGAAATGTAATCTCCAGTAGGAGGAATTAAAAAGGTGAAATGAGCTGGGTGTTTTAGCCCACACCTTTAATCCCAGCTGTCATTTGGGAGGCAAAGACAGGAAGATCTTTGTGAGTTCAAGGCCAGCCAGCAACACAATAAGTTCCAAGCCAGACAGGGATAGGATAGTGAGACCCTGTATTAAACAAACCAACAAAAGGGTAAAAATGTAATCCAACTCCAGTATTTGTAAATGGGGCCTTTGGGTAGTGATTAGGAATAGGTACGTTTTTCAGAATGGGGCCCCTTGATTGAATGCTGGCTCTTTTGTAAGAAGGGAGTGCGTTGAGACACACACACACACACACACACACACACTCCTGTGCACCTTTTGTTTCTTGTTAGGTGATGGCACGCATTACTCAGAACAACATCAAGCAAATTACCGTCATCTGTGGCCCCTTGACTTCTTAGAACTGTAAGCTAAAGAAAGTTGTTTCTTTATGAAGTAATACAGTCTCCAGTATTTTTGTTGCGGTAATGAAAAACAAAATGATGTACTCAACGAACGTATTTGGGGAATTAAGCTTCTGCTATGATAGACAGTCTCTTAGCTATTTCTATTTCTGATCCGCATGCTCAGGGTCCCACTACCTGAAATATTCTTTCCCTTGGATAATTACACAACCAATTCCTTCATACCGCTAAGTCTCTGCTCAGTTATCATCACACTCTGCTCTCTGTCTTGTCTTTGAGGGAAGCACTGTTCAATTCATTCACTTTAATTTTGTCTTTCCTTGACTGCATTTTGTCTTCTTATCTGTCTCTCATTACTAAGTACCTTGAGAGCAGAGACTGTAATTTATTCACTGTTGGATTCCCACTACCTAGAGCAGTCCCTGATAACTGGGAAAATGCACAATAAATATTTGTTAAGTGAATGTGAGTTACCAATAACGGATAAAAGCCCCAGAGACCACAATTGCTAATTATTTCTGACAAAAATGAGGCAACTAACTTGGAATTGACCTCAGAGAATCACTTGAAAGACTTCTTATTCACAAGACTATCATTAGTTTGTGAAATGCGTATTAAAGGCATCACTAGCAAGTTTTATAAGTATCTCCTGGTCCATAACAAACAAACAAGCTGCCTGGCAATATTGTCCTTGGTGTGCTTATGTTAACTTGAGGCTCTTATCACAAAAGCCACCAAGGTTTTAGTACAATGTGCTAAAATCCTGGCTGAACTAAAGATCAAGTCTGCAGGTTTCAGAAGGTTCCATCTTTTCCCTGCTTTCAAAGTCAGGAATGAACGTGCTTGCCAATTCTTGATACTTTTACAGTATTTCCTCAGAGATTAGAACAGAGTACCCCAAGACTACAGATAGCGAGAGCCCGAGAGTAGCCCCTCAAAGTTACTCCACTTTCTGTTTCACCCCATTCCTTAGGACGTTGGCTTTGTGTTTCCTGCCCAGGCTTTCCCTGGAGCGAAGAATGAACGGAGTGAGAACCCGAAGGGTTTGCCTCTGTCTGTGTCTGAACTGGGCTCAGCAGCCGCTTGTGACGAACCAGCTTGTCGTCACTTTCACAGGTCTCGGTCAGTACCTTTTGTGCGTGTAGCTGACACATCAGACAGCACCTTGCCCCATGTGCTTTGTGTCTTCAGCATTGTCTCCTGTCCCTCCCACTATCTCTGATAGTATGGGCTGTCTGTTTTACAGTCACCCGCCTCTCGTGACTCATTTGCTGTCTTGGATCTTGGTCGACGCAAGTATTACTATCCCTCAGACTGAAACATGTAGTTAAAAAAATAAATTGAGAGTCTGTATAAGTATGAAAAATGTGCTGTATATAGATGGAGCAGTTGTTTTCATTTGAGTGTGGTTGATGGACCACCTGAATCAGAACCATGGGTCAGGGAGGGAGTTACTTATGATAGCATAGGTTACTAATTACTGAATCAGAGTTGGAAAGGGATGGAGATTTGGGAATCATATATTTTTCTGGCAAATATCTCAGGTTACACTTTTCAAAGTCTGAGAACTTTTTTTTTTTTTTGGCACATATATAGAGGCTTAAGTTTAAGGAGCTATTATAGGGCCGGCAAGATAGCCCAGCAAGTAGAACTGCCTGGTGTCCAGCCTGACCACCCGAATCGGATCCTTGGAACTTGCATGGTGGAAATGAGAAACAGATGTTTACTGCTCAGAAGAAGAACACAAGAACTGCTTGTTGTATTAATAATGAAAGTCACTCCAAAAAGTGAATATCCTTTCCTTTAACTGGAACCAGTTTGTCTTTCTTCGTTATCAAATAGACAAGGACATTGAGTTTCAAGGCTATCAATCGACAAAATTGCCCTTGTCACAAGTCACAGTGCTATGGGAGAATGCTAGAATCCAGGTCTCCATCTTCCTTCCTTAGTGCTTGAGATAATTGACCTCGATGAGAGGGAGAGGGGAGGTGTTCTGAAACTTAGGTAAATTTAGTTCTGTGTGCGTCAGTTATATATTAACCTACATAGTAGGAAGGCTGGAAGACTTGAGAGATTGATGAAAGACAAGACTGAAAAATAGATGGTGATCAAACTGTGAGTAACTCGGGCATCAAAGTAAAGGTGTGGACACTAGATAGTCACTGATACCTTTGGGGCAACACAAAAGGAACATATTAAGAACATTAGCTTGCAGTTGCTACAGGACAAGCTGAAATGGGAGAAAGATGACAGGAGATAGAGGAGGAACAGGCTTCATGGTCTGTGAACACAAAAAGAAGACCCAGACTGATGAAAGGGTGGTGTGGGAACAAATTCTAAATTTGGATCAATAAAATATGTAAAACACTTAGTTCTAGCCTAGCTCCATGGCTTCCTCTTCCTTGTAGAAAAGTAATTTTCTAGTTGCATTTTTTTAAAGCAAATAATTCACTTTTCTCACATCAATGCATAACTTGACTTTTCTAAACTTTGTAGCTTTCTTCCTGTTTTAATAAACAAAAAAAATCAAATTTATAACAGGAGATTGTAAGGATATTGTTTAAAAATACCAACTTATTTACTATACCTTGAAGAAGAAGTATCTGCTTTTGTTAGACATTGATGGGGGAATGTATATGGCAAGGCAGCTTAGAGGCAGGCAGGAAATTCAAAGAGAGAGAGAGACAGGAAGAAGGAGAGAGGAGACGCCAGCAAGCTGCCCAAGGAGCAATAGGTAATGGGATTCAGGTAAAGCCATGGAACATGTGGTGATACATAGGTTAATAGTTATGGGCTATTTTAAGATACAAGAGCTAGCTGGCAAAAGGCTTGAGCCATGGCCATACAGTTCGTAAATAATACAAGCCTCTGTGTGTTTATTTGGGTCTGAGCAGCTGTGGACTGGGCAGGACACAGAAAAACTTCAGTTATAAGACATTGTGCCAAATTCTAGGTTCTTAGAATTGCATGATTTTGTGTCAGGGTTCTGCAGAGACACAGAACCGATAAGATGCATAGACATATGGACAAATCACTCATTTTAAAAAATTGGCTTGTTCAGCTAGGACAGCTTCAGGATGAAATTGAGTTCTGGGGCAGCCACTGGGATGGATCTTGTTTGTGTCCAAAGACTTGGCATGCAGGAAAACCCATAGTGGTTCTCTGTCCTGTTGCTATTGTGAAGAGCTGATGCCTGGAAAACCTGATGTTTGGAAACACCAAATGTCCCAGTTTAGAGACAGTCTGAAAGAAAGGATTCTCTCCCAATCAGATGAAGGGCAGTACTCTTCTTCAAGCTTCAGCTGACTAGATGAGCCATACCCACAACTTTGAGCTTTATTACCTATAGATTCAAATGTTAAGCCCAAACCACCCTTACAGGAATACTGGTAATAATATTGGACTAGCTGTCTGAGAGCCCAGCCCAGTGTAGACATGCATTTAGTCATCACAGTTTCTGTCTTCAAGGAGTTTATAATTTACTAGGATAAACAGAAAAGTAAAACAGTAGTGCATAGTTTTAATGATGTTAAATCCAACTCCTGAGATCAAGAGATGTGTGTTGAGACATTAGAGAGACTGTCCAGGACAAGGAAAGAAGAGTCCTGGGACAAGTTCCCAGAACTGCTAGCAATACCTAAAGGATTTGGGAAGGCAGAACATTTTTAAATGAAAACTTGAGCAGGAAACAACAACTTAGTTATAGTGAACTTACACTTTCCTGTTGACTAGAAGGTGGGCTCATCAGAGGAGAGCAGTTTGGGACAGAAGGACAGTCTACAAAGGGATGTCACTGTTGGCTCTGGACTGCTTGGCCCTGTAAGCAGTTTAGAATGGCAGCTACAGCATCATATTAGCATTTGAGTTCAAGTTTCAACATACAGTCAGATTAGAAACCAAAGTTTTAAAAATCTAGAGCTTGTTAGTATGTATACATGTATGCAGACCATTAAAATAGCCCTAAGTGCTGCAAAAACTCCTTTACATAGCTGATTAGTGGGATAATCAATCCAAGGTCCTGTATAGCATTAGAATATCCTGACTGAAGTCTTTAGAGATGAGCTCACCTCCCTATTCTCATACTATTGCTGACTTTGCTGAGGAAGTTGGAGCTGGTCTCATTTAAGATATCTCACGTTCTGGGTGTGATATTCTGCTCCCCACTCAGCTTTGAATCAGAGGGTTCCATTGGTGCATGAAAATTAGAGATCCTTTCCAGATCAGTGCTACTTCCTGAAAAGAGAAGGGAAGGGCAGAATTTGAAATGAAGCAGGTAGATAAGAGAATGAAGGAATGGGGTGAAGAGGGTAATAAGTACATCCCTCTCTACCTGAAACTCAGGCAGAGAAATGAATGAAACTTGTCAAGGTAGTGGTATAATATGCAGGAAGTATCTGCACATGGCGGGTAGTAATGATTGTCAGAAGATTTCAGTGGGCCCATTGAAGAACACTCATCCGGGATCTCAGAACTGAATGGTCTGAAGGACTTTACTTAACTTGTGACAAAGTTTGTGTGGGTGTGGTAACATTCCCATTCTTCCTTGCTGTGATATGAGTTTAATCTTTTCTGCTTAGTGGAATCTCAGGGAAGGACAATGAAGGCAATCTTGTGCTTTTGGGCAGGTCTTCATGTAGAAAGAGAATTTCACAAATGCCCCTCTCTGTCAGAGGAGAAGAAAGAGGTTAGAGAAACCTTGGCTCTAAGACAGCTAATTTAAGGCCTTTAATTTCTCCTGATTTGAAGTTTGCAACTTGCTAAAGTGTCATGCTCTGAGATATAATTTTTTCAGCCTTGACAGACATGCCAAGTGTCGAAACTCTGAGATGCTTGCTGGAAAGTCAGTCATAATGACTAGGAAAATTGAATATCAAGAGTAAAATGTTTTACCCACTAACACTGGTTCATTAGCTCTGGAGGTTCTGTAGCCTGAGCATACAACTTAGATAGTCATCTTTAGAAAAGGGTAGTGTGAGGTCTCAAAGAAACCCGGGACGAGTCTCACTGAGTACCTGTGGCTTCCAGCACTTCTCACCGTGCCCCTCACCCTAAACCTCTCCAACCCAAGGGCTAGCCTACAGCTTCCCTTCCCCTAGCTTCTCTTTCCTATATAGGTCAGCCATTTGGGTGGCATGCTTTCTTGTTTCCCACGCACTCTCTTGGCTCCTGGCTGGCTCTGCTCCTCAATCTCTCATGGTCTGCTTGCCCTCTCTCCTCTCTCGATCTCGCCACCTCCCTTTCCTCCCAGTCTGCTGCAGGCCATGTTCAGTCTAGACTCTTGCAGATGTCTCTGGCTATGCTCTGCCTCGTGTCTACAATAAACCTTCTCCTCAACCATACTTAGGAGCAGTCAGGTCCTCATTTTTCATTCAGATAGACTATGCCTTTGTTGTAGAATTATGTCAAGCCCAATGGTGGTAAGCAGTTCAGTACAACATAGTTTTATAACTTGCTGCTTTTACAGTGTTAGACCATAAAATCAAAAAGTTGAACTGAAAATGTCTTGCTCTTCCCAATCCTTTCTCTCTGCTGCTTTTTATGCCTCTTTGCTTTTTGTGGCTCAGTGCATGAGTTCATTTTGAGCCAAATATTTCAAAGTGTCCAATAAAAGTTCAGCCAGGCTGCTGGTTGTTTTTACCTAAGTGTACGGTAGCACTCACAGATACCAACTCTGTAATCTTTCTAAATGAAACAGTTTTATGAATTCTGTTTTTCAGGATCCCTTTGTCAATTTCTTGTACAGTAGTGACGAGTGCAGACTCTAACAGCACCTCAAACACATCAACTATTCATTCTCACCAAAACCTACTCAAGTTGCCAGGGCAGAGTTAATGATTTCCACTTTCTCTTCTCTTCATGTCAGTTTTAGTTTCCACATTTCTACCATTTGTCACTGTGTACATCCTTCTACATCCATGGCATCGAGGATCTGCTGTAAGTTGTGGATCTTTGCTCTTCCTGCTCAGCTCCCTTAAGTGTGGTACACTAGTTCCACTTGCTCCCCGGGGCCCTGAAGAGGATGAGACATTTCACACGGTTTAAAAATGCCTGCATTCTGCAGGCTCCAGCAGAGAGCAAAAGAGGAGGGGGGGGGGGGTGAGAATTTGGACTTGCTAACTCACTCATCTACTTCTGGTTTGATTGCTACAAAAGGAAAGATTCAGAGTAGGTCTGAGGTCAACCAAACTCACAGCCTTCTCCAGGAGTCTGAAGGCATTTCTAGCCCGTAGTGAAATTGGAACTGGATTATATATGTGAAAAGCAACGACTAAGCGCTCAGTGGAGAACTTCCGAGAATACAATGTGGGCTAACGTTCTCTTTGGAAAGATCAAGGAGAGGAAGAGCTATTAAAAGAACAGATAAGGGTGACACTCAGAGTAACAGAGTTGCATATTGATAGGGAGGCTCTACTAAAATGAACTGGAACAAGCTGGTCGCATGTTCCCAAGGGCAGCCTTTAAGATTCGCAAACCAAGCTGGCAGTTTTGCCAGTCATTAGAGTTTGA